CGTAAAGATATTTAGGAATGTCGAACGATAATTCTTGCCAATAAATAGCGAACGGTTTGTTCTATTAGATTAAGCATGAAAAGCAACTTTTATAAATAAAATAAAATCCATTAATAAATAGAACGATATATATTATAGCCTCGGTCTAGTGGCATGTTTTTACGTATAGACTCGTTTTAGTCCCTATGATAATTGGTAACGTACCCACGACAGCTGCCCGTCTGGCCACCTCATAAATTCAACGTGATTAGTGTGAAAGCACGAACTGACGAGAGAGAGAGCACGCAGCAGCTTCGTTTATTTTTCCTGACGTACAGCGTACTCGTTGCATGGCAATTATTCACCGTCTCGTCCATGCCACTGTTGTCTTTTCCCCGACGCCTTGTGCGAGCGTCCTTGCCGCTGCTACGCGGTCGCTGTCTTTTGCCTTTAAGAAAGATAGCTGGCCTGCTGCTCACATCGTCCCATCAATATGCAAAGCTACCGAACCACGCCGCGCTGTCCCGGCGTTAATGAAGTTGGCCGGGTCACTCACATTGTTTTCTTCCTTCTTTTCTATTTCTGCTGCCTCGATCTTGTCTGGCCTAGCTCTATGGTTTGTCCTTGGTTGTCCTTGTCGCCTCTGCTTCGCCAAGCCGTCTAGCTCCGCTGCTCACTAGCCTCTCTCTTTGCCTCGATTGCCTCTGTCTGCACCTGCCGAGCCAAGCATCCGTAGTGCCCATGACGGCCCGTCACCACCTACCACGTGTCATTTAATTAGCTCCCAGCCGCTAGGGCCGAGTCGGTGCCAGCCACAGCACCACCACGGGTTGCAGCTGCACCATGACAGCGTGCACCAGCGCCCACTCCTTTTCGCTTCCTCTCCCGCACCAGTGTTGCAGCCCCTGCTCTTCCCCAGCTCGCCGCTACTGGCCTCGGCGTTTCGGCGCAAGCCAAGCCGTTGCCCTGCGGCACCTGTCTGGGCCGTGCCTGCTGTTGCCCTGCCTCCATGGCGAGCACGCTCGTGCCCCAGTCCCACGCTGGACCCATGGCTCCATGGCGCTGCCCCTCTCGAGCCGCGTTGACTCACGGCGTGCTGCTCCTTCTCTCCCCTGCTCTCCGCTCCTCTGTGTGCAGCGCCGGCGTCCCCTCCCCTTCGCCACCGCTGAGTGCCGGCCGGGCTGCGACCGCCCGCACCTACGGCCGAGACGACCGCCGCACCGCACCGCCTCCTATCGTAGCTACTGCGCTATCACCGGCCACCGTGCCGCTTTTCCCACCCGTTGTCACTCGGTTTTCCCCACACGCGCAAGCAAAGCCACGGCCGCAATGGTCCACTGCTCCACGTGTCGCCTCCGCTGTCGTCCATGCTGGGCGCACCGCCTGGCTGCCAGCCAGCCGCAGCTGCCCGCCTCCAAGGTCGTTGCTGACCATGCCGCTCGTCCTGCCGTGGCCGCACCATGCGTCGCCGTGCCGCCGCCCGCGTGGGTGCGTGGCTAGGGTGCCTCAGGCCGCTCATGGCCATGCCGCCAGCACCCACGGGAGCGGTGGGCGCCCTCGCTACCTCTACGCACCGCCTCCGTGCCGAATCGCCACCGGCCGGTGTTCCCCTGCCGTGCTCGGCTTGTGAAGAAGACGAGAGGGACCGCGGGGTAAGAATGGAATCTTTCTAGGGCTTTCAATGCAAAAATCAGTGACTACCATGAATAGTGTTTGGTACTACGGGTTAAATTTGAGATAACCCAGGGGCCGCGTAAGTATCGCAAAGTAGTATCGCCGCCGCAAGGTTTTTCCCTGTGGGCCGGCTTGCTGGGCTGCGCACGCCGCGCTGCCGGGACTGCCGTGCGCGCCGGTGGGCCGCCAGTCTAGCTAGCTGGCCCGTGTGTGCCTAGGCCACTCACGCCCGCGCCCGCCTGGGTCGGCCTGGTGCCTCCCGCGCCTGGGCTGCCTGCGCACGCTGAACACCTGGGCCGCGCGTCCGCTGGGCCGAATAGGTGGTCGCTGGCCCATTTAGTGTTATAAAGCAATTGTTAATTAGTTTCACAAATAAACTTGTAAAATTCGTAGTAAATCATAGAAAAATCATTAAAATGCCAAACCAGTTTTGCTGAGTTCCTAAAATCATGATCTATCTAATAGAGTGTTTTGTTCACATAGATTCGGTATGTTTTTAGGGTTGCTCAAATTATTTTGGCATGCTTAATATTGATAAAAGATGGACTTGTAGGAATTTTCGTGATAAATCGGTGATAGTGTTGACTCTAAAAATTTTACAGTAAATTACCAATATTATTAGTTGTTCAATGTAATTTTTGTAGCTCCAGAAGTCGAGTGATTGCCTGTCACTCGCGAGATATAGAAAATATATTACTGTATTATTATCACCTGTAAAATATAAATGGTGGAAAGGAAAATGGTGACCGGACAGGGATATGGTTTGGGTATTGGTGGGTGTAAGAAGTTGTGTCCAGCGGCTATGGGGCATAGCTTGGTTACACTGTTTTCCCTATCTGTGTCGCTTAAGGACCAACCATTGTATAAGACTCTAGGCAAGTCATAGACTTATTATCCCGAGCACATACTTGTTTATGGGCGCTTGAAAGACTTGCTACTCTTTTGTCATGGGTTTTGCCTCTTTCCGGACTGACTGTCATGGTGGTTTTTAGGTTAGGAGGTCCTTACACCGTACTGAGTCCGGGACTCAGGGGCGGGGGTCTGGAGTCCCAGTTTGGATGGAGACCTAAACCCCGTGATAGGAGGGTAGTGGGTTGGTCCTACTTGTGCCTGGGGTATAAGCGGGGCGTGTGTTTTCGGAGTACCCAGCTGGGGGCATTGATTCGCGAATCGCCGAACGATCCAGTACGGCTTGTCTACGGTTTAGCATCGTAGTAAGAACTAAAAATAAAAGATAGAAAAAGAAAGTTTGATTGCTTGCCACCTGCTTGAAAGTAGTACATGTGGTTACATAGAATGATTAGTTAAGGAACTAATGCACTGCTAATAAAAACTGAATATAAGGACGCACATTTAGTAATGCTTCATGCGGATGTAATAAACCCACAAGCGAGATAGCCTTGCATATCCTTGGAGTCTTTTCTTTCCTTCTGTCGGGTAAGTCTTGCTGAATACAATTGAGTACTCAGGGTTTTATTCCCTCCTGTTGCAGGTGACAGGTGGAGGCTAGAGCTGACCTTTGTGTGTGGATTTCTCCTAGTGGGCTTAGAGAGGATTTTCTTTACGCTGCGATCATAGTTTTTATTTATAACTCTCATTAAATGTTTTTATAAATGAAAGTTTATAATCTGTTGTCATAGTTTCCATATCAATGCTTCATCATGCCATGAATAGATAATTATTTCCGCTGTAATTCTGATCACATGTTTATATTCCATTGTTACATTAAATTGTTCATAACTCTGATAATATGATTACATTCCGCTGTTATAATAATAAATATTATACTCTGATATTGTATTAAAAGTGAGGTAAGAAATGGTTAAGAATGATGTAAGCTTTATTCTCTTATTTATGATCTTGATGGAAAAAATATGGATTTTTGGGTTCTCCCTTGGGGTGTGCCCGACGGAACTGTGTAATTTAGTGTTCTCACTTGAGTGCTTAGTGTCTAATGGAAGACAAGCACTCATGGAAGGTATTAGATTAGGCGGTTCTGCCACAGTCACGAAAGTTTCCAATACCATGAATTGTAGTGACATAGAACGGAATTAACCTTGTCATAGAATATTCCCTTAATATGCGGTACAACTCGATTATCGAAAGTCGAGGGGGCGAAGAGAGATCAATGCGAGCACACTAGCGTGCGGGGGAAGGATAGAAAATGGGGGAGGGTGAGCGAGGCCAGTCAAGCTTGACGACGAGGGGCAAGCGGCGTTCAATGGGGCACAGTTGGATCTCTAGCTTGCGGCATGCAGGGACGAGGCAACCTCCGGCGTGCAGGAGCTGAGGGCAATGGCTGGTGTGGACTACAGGGTTGTTGTTGGGAAAATGGAGGAGAAAGACATGTTAGAGGAAGAAGAAAGAATGAAAAAAAAATTGGCGAATGAGAACCACTTGTCAGGTGCTTCATCTCACTTTCTAGCATCCCTCAACCAAACATATAGAATGTGAACAATTCTATCATGTCAACCAAACACAGAAGTGCAGAATATGGACAGGTCATGGTTCCATCTCTCAAACCTGAGATGAAACCATGACATCCCACTATATCCCAAACCGAATGCATGTTAAGTTTAGAAACAGGCACCTGAGTTATATAGTTTTTTCTACTTAAGTTAGAGTGGCTTTAGTCACTGGCTTACGGTTAACCCACCTACCAGTGACTTGAGTTCAGTAACCGAGACATTTTTTTTACATCTTATTTGTTTTTACCTACGTAATCACGCTCAAATTTACTTCCTCATCTAAATGGAGAGCGTGGTGGACAAAAATAAACCAGCGAGCAATGGCTCCCTAGCGACGAGCGTGTGTGCGTCCCCACGTGCGAAGCCGTTAGGTTCATCTACTTTCTGAAAGATGTCATGCCAGAGGGCAAGGAGCCGTCAGAAGCCTCGCCAAAACGAGGCCTTACACTTCGAACATTTTATTTTTAAGGCCCTGTTTAGTTCCATTTCGTTTTGCTAAATTTTTCAAGATTTCCCGTCACATCGAATCTTTAGACGCATGTATGAAGTATTAAATATAAATAAAAAATAAAACTAATTACACAGTTTAGACGAAATCCACGAGACGAATCTTTTAAGCCTAATTAGGCTATGATTGGACACTAATTGTCAAATAACAACGAAAACGCTACCGTGGTCATTTTGCAAAAAAAAATTGCATCTAAACTGGGCCTAACTTTCAGAGAGTAACAGGTTTAATTTACAAGACTGAACAACAGCTTTTAGTTCTCGAAGCGTCTCCATGGAATTTCTGCGACTGCGACTCGCGGAGTCAGATTCTCAACATTCTCCATGCTGATGCCCAGAGCCCAAACTGAACCGACTCGACCGTTTGAACAGCTACCGAGCATGGCGAGTCGAAGAAGGCTTTTGTGATGCCAGTAAGAAATCCAAGACGACCTTGTTGAACCGATCCGGGTCCTCCATCTGAGGCACATGGCCTGTTTTCTCGACGATTTCCAACGTAACATTCTCTCCTAAACACCTGCGACACGTGCCATGCAAAAAAAAGGTATTAATACGGCAGTCTGAAATTACAATATACTGCCGTAATTTGACAGCTAGCATCTTTACAGTGTGCAGTTGTGAGTTGTGACTTGTGACAGCCATTGGTTCGATCGTTCCATATGGAACGGGCTATTCAGGTCCCTCTCTCCAATTGCATCACAGTGACTACTATGAAGTTACCTCTTGACGGCAAATGCCTTTTCCAAGGGAAATATTTGATCGTGGTCTCCCCAGATGAGCAAAACGTCCTGCCATTGACGACATCAGTTCAGTTACAGAGTAGAGATTGAAATTCAGTTACCGTCGGTTCAGCACAATTATATAGAAGCATATTTCTGTGTAACTAGCTCGAATTTTCTGTTCATGCAAAGGGTGCATAGTAAAATGCTTTTGTATTTGTATTGTATCCATGCAAAGAAGCTGCATGCAACAGATACCTGAGGCAGGGGTATCAGTTGGAACTCGTCAGTGCCGACAGTGATTGCCTTCATCAGTTCAATCTTCTCCTCCCTTTTATCCGTGAAAAGTTGCTGCAAAATCGTTCAATCGACACGATCACTAGCTATAGCTACTCTTTCAGTTTGAATTGTTGAAAGCAAAGAACTGAAGAATTCACAGAAGTCAAGTAGGAATCCGCTTGCTGTCTGTTACCTGCACGGCCTGTCCGATCACGAAGTCCGGCAGCAAGGTGATGGCCTGCCTCCTGTAGAAGGACATCTCGATGAGCCGCCGCGCGCCGCGCGCGTCCAGTGGCATGAGCAGGTCAGCGGTGCGCTGGAGGAGCGCCCTGTCGTCGTCGGCCGTCTTGAGCAGGTCGGAGTTGGATATCACCGCGGGGCCGACCCTGTCGGGCCCCGCCGCGCGCGCCAGGGCGTAGGCCACGAACCCGCCGTAGCTGGTGCCGACGACGGCCACGCGGGCGCCCGCTGCGAGGCCCGGGAGCGCGTCCAGCAGCGCGGCGGCCTGCGCGGACTCGGACGGCGCCGGGGAGCCGCATGAGGAGGAGGCGCCGAAGCAGAGGAGGTCCGGAACGACGACGTGGAAGTGGCGGGACAGCGGGCCCACCTGCCGGCGCCACTGCCAGGTGGCCATGGGCCCGAAGCCGTGGATGAGCAGCAGCGGAGGGAGCCGCGGCTCCCCCGGCGGCGCCCAGTAGTGGATGTGGATGTTGCGCTGCCCCGATGCGCCGCCGCCGACGCCGCCCGTATCGGTCGAGGTGGCGGTGTGCAGAGAGATGGTGTGGGGTTGGAGGCCGGCGCCAAGGAACGCGCGGCGCGCGATGAAGTCCATTAGCTGGAGGACGCCGAAGCCCATGGCGGCGCGCGCGAGAGAGAGGTGGCTCACCTCAGAGACGAATAGACGATCGCGTCGCGGCTTCGTTAACCGGTGCAGTGGAGGCGAAGCGGAGGAAAAGCGGTGGGTGGGAACAAGTGCACTAAAGTCAAAGCAAGAAGTATTTGTCCGCGTGCATGTGCTACGTCAGTCAGCCGTGGCTGCATGCTGAACTCTCGCAGCTTCTTCTGGTTCTTCTCAAGCCGCTAAACGGCTTCACCGGTGAAGCCAAAGTCGATAAAGTCAGAAAAACTAGCGTTTCTCGACTTTTAGTTCATTTTAACCCCAGCTTACAAAAACGGATTCACGCTACAGTATCTCGATTTGCGCAAAATAGATGAAGCCGAAGCCGGCATAAACCGTGCCAAAGAGGCCCTATGAATCTACTATGCGCTTATTAGCAGCTTCGTATATAGGGCAAAGGGAGTTGCTATATAGGAACACATTCAAATCTGTACCATGAATCAGCGATCTTATTACAAATACAAACAATCGAGTCGGCTACCATTAACCAATCACCAATGCACCTTACTGCGAGCTAGGATTAGCCGATGGATCAGGCTTGTGAGAAGCCGTCAAGAAGTCCAGCATGACCTTGTTGAAGCGAGCAGGATCCTCCAGCTGAGGAGCGTGGCCTGTCTTCTTTATGACCTCCAGTCTAGCGCTCCCGTTCAGAGCCCTGAAGACACAGCAATAATGGTACAAGCCAGTCAGTGTTACTGTACTTAGCACGGGGAGACGGCCAGCCATCTGTTTGGGGAAAAAATGGGCTTTGCAGAGTGCCAAAGTGTGCGTGTGTAGAATAACTCTACCTCTGAACTGCAAACGCCTTCTCCACCGGGAACAGCTGGTCGTGGTCTCCCCATACAATCAGCACTTCCTACACAACGCACGCACGACCATGGCTGAAGTTTAGTCACAGGCTTACAGACACAAGCTCGCCAGAGCGTCATCTGATAGCGCGAGACAACCTGCGTTTTAATGTAACAGTACCTGAGATATTGGTGTCACTTGGAATTTATCAGTGCCGACCGTAATCCCCTTCAGGATATGAACAAGCCGCTCCCTGTTCTCCGTGAAAAGTTTCTGACAGATGACATGTAAAAAAAAGTTCGGTACTTTGCTGCTGCTGAACTGGTTGGACCAGTGGACACGCGACATCAATGCCCGCTCACAGAAGAGAACAGACAGACTCCAACCGTATCAGGAAGGGACGAATCACGATTCCGGTCGAGTCAAGCTAAGTGGTTGGGCATTATTGACGACCGATGAGTTACACTGTCGAAAAGTACGTACTACTCCAGTACTCGTCGTTACTGTCTCCGCTCAAAAGAATACAACTATAGCTTACGCGTCAAAAAAATGATTCGCCCATCGCCTCCGGAGCTAAAATATTTGATTTCTGAACGTATGGTCAAGTTTTTAATAAATAATATTCACAGTTATATTATTAAATTAAATTATTATGAAAATATATTTAGTAATTAATCTGATGATATTTATTTAGTATCATAAAAATAGGTGCTTTTTTATCTATAATTGGTCAAATTTGAGGTACTAAAACATAATAATGTACTAGAATTGTATTCTTTTAGGGATAGAGGTAGTACAAAAAATAATTACTCGTCTGGATTCTTCAAAAGTCTTTCAAAAAATAACCAAATACATAAATATTTATAATACATGACCAATATTAATTATTAAAAAATATATTTTATAATAAACTTATATATATATATATTGATACTATTTTCTATGTATATGTATGCTTGTTAATTAATTTTTTAAAAAATTGACTCCCGAAGAGAAGCGCGAGGTCCACTTAGTTTAGAACTGAGGAAGTAAAATGCAAGATTTACATGTTATGCTACTAGCTACTAGTAGCAATGTTGCTGGGTTTCCCGTCAATCTGAATCTAGCGAAAGGAAGCTGCTGCGGTTGCAGAGTTTCCAAACGAGTTGTTTGTTTGTTCTAAACGTGGGCATTAATGGCGGGTTAGGTATCTCGCCGGCCTGTCCATGTTACTTTGAGCCCGTGTTTAGTAGGAGGAGAAGTTAGAATTTGGATATCGTATTATTTTTGTTTTTATTTAACAATTAGCGTTCAATCATAGATTAATTAGGATTAAAAAATTTCGTCTTGTAATTTTCAACTAAACTATGCAATTAGTTTTTTTTCTACCTTTAATGCTCCATACACGTATTGCAAGATTTAATGTGATAGATACTATAACACTTCTTGGAAAAAGTCTTTGGAACTAAACGCGCCGACTTTTGATTTTGTAATGCTACTGAAAAGACGAGCAATTCTAGACTATATATAGGATCGAAAACTCAGCCCGTGTTTAGTTAAAAAACTTCCCAAAAAGTACTACAGTAGCAATTATATCGAATCTTACGATACGTATATGGAGCATTAAATGTAGACGAAAAAAAAAACTAATTACACAGTTTAGTGAGAAATCGCGAGACAAACATTTTAAACCTAATTAATCTATAATTAAACATTAATTATCAAATAAAAACGAAAATTCTACCGTAACCAAATTCCCAACTTCCCCAAGACTAAACACGCCCTCAGAGTGACGTTGACTCCCGGTACCAAAGAAACGGTCAAGGAGGAAGATTCCGGTGAGCACATGCACCGCACCCGCACCTGGATGAAGTCACGGAGCAGGAAGTCCGGCGTCATCAGCCGCGGCGGCAGGCGGTAGGAGGCCAGCTCCAGGAGCTTCCGCAGCGCGGCGGGCTCGGCGGGGAGGAGGATGTCGTCCACGCCGCCCCACCCTTCGCCGGCGCGCTTCAGGAACGCCCTGTCGTCGGCGGCCGTCTTGAGCAGGTCGGAGCTCGCGATCACCACGGGGCCCACCCTCGCGGCCCCCGCGGCGCGCGCCAGCCAGTACGCCACGAACCCGCCGTAGCTCGTGCCCGCCACGGCCACGCGCCGGCCCTCCATCCCGGGCAGCGCGTCCAGCAGCGCCGCCAGGACCGCGGCCTGCGTCGCCTCCGTCGGCGGCGGCGCCGTCTCGAACGGGTACGAGCTGCCGCCGAAGCCCAGGAGGTCCGGGACGATGACGTGGAAGTGAGGCGAGAGCGGGCCCACCTGGCAGCGCCACTGCCAGGCGGCCCGGGGACCGAAGCCGTGGACCAGCAGGAGCGGCGGGAGCTGCGGCTCCCCCTGCGGAGCCCAGTACTGGATGGTGCAAGTCGCCCCGGCGCCGCCGTCGGGGTACGGGAGCGTGACGGCGTTCTGGCGGAGGCCGGCGCCGAGGCACTCGCGGCGGGCGAAGTAGTCGAGCACCGGCACGAGGCTCAGGCTGCCCCCCATGGCTCTGGCTCTGGCTGGTGGCACTGAGCTACCACTGGTCGGCGCTACCTTCAGCTGGCAGCCAGAGTTTGCAAGTGTACATGGCAAGAGAACGGGAGGCGATGGTTTAGCTTAAAGAGAGCAGGTTGGTGGTGGAGGGAGGGTTCCCAGGCAATGGCATTGCAGATTTGCAAGGGAAAGGTGGTTGAGTGGACCAAACTTTTGCCGAGATTGAAAATGAAATCGTAAACAGTGGAACAGTTATTAGGAAGAGAGCAGTGCCGTCGTCGATGCCCGTGAATGTACTTGTTCGGCTGTTCTTGTACTAGGTTCATTCGCGTCTTTTTACTACTGTCTCTGACTTTTTACTCACTTATTATTACATAGAAGAGCCCAAAAGTTTACCAAGTTTTCTTATGCTTTTTGATATAAAGGGAATAAAGGCAAGTATCCCAGGTTCACTTCAGTTTTGGAAGTTCAAAATTCAAAACCCTGCTAAGATAGGTCATGGTGAAATATCAATTTATTTTACTATGTTTTTTATGTTTGATTTCATTTAATTTATAAATGAGATTTGTCTCCCTGAGCATAATTCTTATTCATAAAATAAAAAAATCACTCTTTTTTTGTGATTAATAACAAAATGACTCTTGTAGTTCCCTTTTTCTTCGAGGGAACCTTTTCCTTCTACTGCATTCGTTTTTTTAAATTTCTTATATAAACCAGCTACCGTGAAAGATTATTACCGATTAGATTGACAACAACGATTTGGTTGGATTATAACCAGATACGAGCGAATAAGTCGTAACGAACGAGCTGAAGGAGGACCGTCCGATGTGGGGTCCATGCAGCAAAACACTGGCGATGTCTTTCGCGTGGCCATCACAGATACGTCGAACACAGTACTACTGATGTGAGTGGCCGCGAAGGGAAGATTTCTGCAGTCCCCTTTGTTTAAACTTCTTTTCTTTTCTTTGCTCAAAGAGATGCTTGTTCACCAAAAGGATGATGTTATGTAAAGGAAGGACAAGAAGAATTGGATTAAGCATTAGGCTTCTATATGCTGCACGAGTGGGCTGTCAGCGACTAGTGGTCCATCAGCACAGCATCACAAGAATAACTCTGGAGTCTGGAATGTGAATAGAACCTTGTGAAAATTAGTAATACTGCAATACGTATTGGCGAGAAGAAAGAACAGGGACAGACTGTGCGCATCAGAGACAGCTCTCTGAATTTCAGCATTACAGATACGTCGAACACAGCATTACAGACTTACAGTCTTACAGATGAGAGTGGCGGCCACGGGAAGATTTATGTACTCCCCTTGGTTTAAACTTCTTTTCTTTGCTTTGCTGAAAGAGAGGCGTGTTCACCAAAAGGAGATGTTATGTAAAAGGGAGGACAAGAAGATACGGATACGGCAGCCACAATTGGATTGAGCATTAGGCTTCTATACGCTGCACAGGTGGGCTGTCAGCGACTAGTGGTCCATCAGCGACTAGCTGTCAGCGACTAGCCTTGTCGAAAAGGCCAGTCAGTTTAGTAGCCATGCAGGTCTTGGGGCTGAGCCAGAAGAAAGAACAGAGACAGACTGTTGATGGCTTGACGAGGTCTTTATTGAGCCAGAAGAAAGAACAGAGACAGACTGCGCGCATCACGGGTCACTGGCACCAGACAGACAGCGTGCTCGTTTGATGGCTTTAGAGCTTATCAGTTAGTTAATAATTTTTTTTCTCGTTTGAACAAAATATCAGTTAGTTAATAATTTTTTTCTTAACAAACAAATTGCTGTTAAACGGCTTCAAAATGTAACCCCAAATCAAACCAACCAACAAAGATTTTCCTCCTCATATATAAAACCAGCAGATCACCAAATTTCAAATTAAGACCAAAGCCCAAACTAGCATAGCCGGGTTTATCAACATAGAAACCAACCAACGAATAGGCCGAGAGACTGCTCTTTGAATTTCAGCTCCAAAAGTTCATTTTTTCAGACATTATTGCACTCCTACAAAACATTATTGTACAAACAAACAAGTTCGGAGCGACGCTTCTCTGTACTTTTGTACACCGCATTCGGAGGGTACAGATGGGCACGGTAGCACGGCTGATTTTGAATAATTAAATAATATTATGTGAGAGAGAATAAGCTAGAACACAGATGACCAGCCGAACGCGTAGGGGACGCTGCATGATTGTGTCTGCGGGGCGTCTGCATGCAGATCATTGCCGCTCCGCTGCTTTAACTACAGTTGGCGTCGGCGCGTCGCATCGTTGCAGCGTGCACTGCAACCACCTGCGAGCAGGCCTTTGTTTGCTTCTGGGCCTCGACAGGAAAAGGCCTCATCTTACTTCCGGCCCACGCCCGCGCCAGCGCCCGGCCCAATTCGTTCGTCCAGGAGGAACGACTTGATGAAGCGGTTGACGTGGTCGGCGCCCTCCAGCTGCAGCGCGTGCCCTGCGTCCCTGACGATCTCTAGCCTGGATCTCTCTCCCAGGAGCCTGCATTCACGCCAGCGCATGGCAGTGCTCTGAACAATCTGAAGCAAAGTGGCGTAGTGGATCGGATTCAAGAGAGGGTTTTGGGCAGTGCAGTGTTGTGCGTTTCACTTACCTGTGCAGCCTGTGGCCAAGATCGACGGGGAACACCTGGTCTTTGTCTCCCCAGATGATCAGTGTTTCCTGGAGGAGCGGAAGCTGAAGATTGTCAGTATTTTTATTTCAGATTGAGTGTTTTGTGCGAGCTCGTGTGGTAACTACTGCGATGTCGTAGTTACTAGTACTACCTGGGTAAGAACCGGGAGGGGGTCGAAGCCACTTCCGTTCTTGAGCAATTCGTGCAGCAACTCTGCCCTCTCCCTTTTCTGATCCACGTACATGAGCTGCAGCAGAGGGGAAAAAGCGTGGGGAAATGTGTTTGTTGTATTGTACTCCTACTGCAGTACAGTAGAAATAATATAACGAACGATCTGGCAGGGACAGAACGCCACAAAACTGACAAGCTAGTTTTGACGATAACAAACCAATTTGCCCCTGGCAGACAGACGGACAGGTCCGCTGACGGAGATGGACACCGGACTTGTTTCACGGCACAGCCATAGCTACTTGAAATGGCCAGGGGCAGGCAAACGTTTGATCCCATCAGGAAGATTTTCGGGTCTATCCACGGCCCACGGGTAGCACGTTCCACATGCGCACTGGGCCATAGCGTGCCGCATCCCAATCCTTGCTGCGATAACGTGCTCGGAAATCCTTGGACGCGGGCGAACGCCAGCCGGCAGGCGCCGGGGCGTCGGTTCATCGTACCCGGCGCGAAACCGTGACGGGACGGAAACCACACCGCACCGCCGGAAAGAAGAGAACAAGCACAGCCCCAGAACGGCCAGGAGCAGAAGGGCAACCGCAACGAACGAAGTACAGAGAGCAGGTGGATGGATGCGAGCCGCAACCTATCGCTCGCCATGTCGCCCACTCGCGCGCGTGTACGGACTACGGACGTGACGCGGACCTGATATTGCATTTAGCCTTGGGGCCTCCGCCCTTCGGCCTTGGCCTTGGCCTTGGCCTTGGCTCTTGGCCTCTTTTGGCTCCGTCCGTCCGTCGCTTGGAACCGAGGCCTTGTTTAAGTCCTCTTATCCAAAACGGTTTTATCGATAAAACTAAAGTCGATGAAATCAGAAAAACAGGTTTTTTTCGGCTTCTAGTTCATTTTAACCCTGGCTTATAAAACGGTTTCACGCTACAGTGCCACGATTTGTGCAAAATAGATGAAGCCGAAGCCGGCATAAGCCGTGCCAAAGAGGCCCTTAGTTTCCAAAAACTTTCCAAAAAAGTGCTATAATAACCATCACATCGAATCTTACGATACGTGCATGGAGCATTAAATGTAGACGAAAAAAACGAAAGTGCTATAGTTTGGTTGAAAATTACGAGATGAACGTTTTGAGCCTAATTAGTCCATGATTGAACACTAATTGCCAAAATAAAACGAAAGTGCTACAATAGCCAAATTTCCAAAATTTAGCCAACTAAGGACACGTTTAGTTCGCGAATTTTTTGGGTTTTGCAATTGTAGCACTTTCGTTTGTATTTGACAATTAATGTCTAATCATGGATTAATTAGGTTCGCTCGTGATTTCTCATCCAATTATGCAATTAGTTTTTTTTTATCTATATTTAATGCTCCATACATGCGTCCAAAAATTCGATGTAATAGAAAAAAACCAAAAATTTTTGAAACTAAACTGGCCTAAAAAGGCCCAACTGTGCATCTATCAACGGATTCGAGACCCATCATGGCCTCGCCCTCCGAGGAAAGGAGACGAAGACAATGCCAGACCCTTTCTATTCCCGCCATGTTCGTTTGTTTTTATAAGTCGTATTTTTTTAATTAATAAATAGTATAATAAATTCAACGATGCTTTCGGTTACGATTTATAAGTCAAGCGAACGAACGTGGCATCCGTCCTGTCCAGCTGTCCGTGTCCGCTGCTCGATGTGAACGCAACTTACAGCGTCGCGTACGCTGCCGTGTGCCTGTCTGTCCGCTCGCACTACGCTGCGGCATGCCCGACTGCCGAATTCTTTTGTTTGTTTCTTAGTTCTACGAGTAGAGACTAAAACAGAAACTAAGGTCCCGTTTAGATTCATAAGACTAACAACTAGTTAATTAATGTTTAGTCCCTAAACATTCAAATAGTAGACTAATTGTCAGTCCATTAGTCATGAACTAGTTATTAGTTTACTAGTCCATTTAGGGCTGATTGAATGAACCAGTACTAACAACTAGTCCTATTACCTCTTATAAGTGAACTAGTGAACTAACAACTAGTCCATGACTAGTGGACGAAGAATTAGTCTACATGTTTGATACTTAGGGACTAAAAATTAGTTAACTAGTTGTTAGTTCTATGGATCAAACAGAGTCTAGGAGCTAATAGAACTAGTTGTTACTCTAGTCCATCTAAACCAGGCACTAAATAGTCATCTTTAACGTGTGTTTGTTTGAATAGATTAGAGAGGATTAAAAGCCATTAAAGCTCGCTGAACAAAGATTAAAATACCCTCACCACAAGGGGTGGAGACCGAGAGGGGTCGGGACCGGAGAAGGGCATGGGATGTCAATTTGGCCCCATAAATATCAATAAGGCTCACCCAAAGAACTTCTGTCTTTTAGTCTGTAGTCTCTGTTGTAGTCCTCCTATTTAGTTAAAATGACTAAACGGACTAAAATTTATTCTATAGTCCTTATTCCCATATTTTCTTGAAAACAAACAGGACCTAAAAACTACTATACGTGCTCGATCGGCGGAAGGCTCCACAAGGAACGTGGCAGTCGAGTCATCAAAGTGTTTTTGAACAAGGGAATCTTTGCCGAGTTCTTTTTACTAAAGGGTGGGGACACGTGGACCACGTAAGGAGCCAGCGACCAAAGGAATCGACGAGATCGGCGGCATCCGTGACACGCCGCACCAGATCTACTGGACCTGCGTGTCTTTCTCCCCACACTCTCTGGAATAGGAGTGGTTGCCTAGGCGTACGTGTTTTTTCTTGTACTCCCTCGTTCATTCATCGTCAAAAAGTTAGGATTCCAACGATAGCAAGTTTAGCCTTTCTAATAAACCATTCAATTTCCAAATTAATGAATAAAAGTTATAAAGATAGTAATGTCTATAATACTCACTCCGTCCCAAAAGAATGCAATTCTAAAACAATATCATATTTTATTATATCACCTTTGACCAATTTATATATAAAAAAGTATAAATATTTATGATATAAAATAAATATCATTAGATTAATTATGGATTGTATTTTCATAATAAATTAATTTGAAGCCATAAAATGTGAATATTATTTACTAGAAACTTGATCAAACATGAAACACTCAAAGTGGCACGTAACCTATAGTTGCATTCTTTTAGGGACAAATGTAGTACTTAGTATTATTACTAAATGATTATATATATATATATATATTTATAATAGGAGGTTAATATTATCTTCTTTTTATAAAGTTGGTGAAAATCAAATGTCATGTTCGTTTCGTTGAAATTTGGCTTATGCTGATTTATTGTGAAAAAAAAACACTATTCGGTCCTTGAAAATTATTGCTGAAGTAGTGTTGAAAAACCGGGCGAAAATCAATTCACTTCTTAGAAAATGAGAAATCACAACGGCCTTTTTAAAGTGCGGGAGACAATAAACCATGCGCGGTTGAGATAATGACATGGCGGATCAAAAGTTCAAAACCAAACCAAAGTTGCAGAACGCTGGTGCGCCGTGCGTGCATGTCTACGACCTCAGTGCACACACGACCTCTCGAGAGTCGGGAGGAAGAAGAAAGAAAGCCAATGCACCCGGCCGAAGGACGACCCCTACCAGACGCAAGCACGTACAGCGAAATACGTACACGCGCAATAGCAATTTCAAAACGATAGGATGTCTCCTAACAAATGCAGCAATTTGGTAGTAGTTCCGAAATTTGATTGGTTGGCCAGTCTTTTGTCATCGAGTTATGCATTACTACACTTTTGGACTGTCTCCAACTAGAAATTTATATGTGCATATAAACCTAAAGTGAGTAGCATGAGATTTAAAATTAGTCTCCAACATAGTACCTATACGAGAGACCTATTTTGGGTTGCCTAAAAGACACAACCTAAATATAGACATCTCTCTCTCCTGAAAACCCATTTACAGGAAGGATTTTTTTTAGTCTCGTTGTTGGAGAAGATGTCGAATAGGTATTGAACCTTTTGTCTGTAGCGCTACCCAAAAGACGAATAGATCTTGTATTTTGGGTGGTGTTGTTGAAAAAAGCCTTAATTAGCCCGTCTCAATTGAGTTATGCATTACTATTCCTTTAATTAGGCCAGTCTCTACGAGAATGTCATGACAGTTTCATGCACGTTAAATGACATGACATATTAGGGAAAAAAATCCGTTTTGCATGTAAGGAGTTTCATGGCCACCAAACGAATGGGCGCTGTTTCCCACGGCTTGGAAACCGCACGATACCTGCATTGAGACGGTTTTTCTCGTTTCATCCGATCCAGTGCGGCCGTGCCGTGCGGCTCTGCCATCCCGGAGATGTTGACGAACCGCCAGGCGACCTTTGCACAGCGAGCTCTCGGAGCCGCCGCCGCTTCCGCGGTCATCGACAAGGCCGGGGAAGCAGGGCCGGGCGCCGCGGCTTGGGGAATGGGGAAGAAAGGGCCGGGCGTCACGGCCGCCCGCAGCTTGGGGCCATGGCTGCTAGCTCCTCCGCGCAGCGCCGGGATCCTCCTTGCCTGTGCTAGCGGCCGCGTTAACGTCGGTCCACTGCACGGTCTGCTCGCTTGGGAAGATGGCTTCCTGTTCAAATTGCTCAACCCAATCTTGGGGAAAAGGATGAGAAGCTCAAGGCGCGAATGTGGATTTATGGAATTGAAGAGAGGTAGAGCAGGTTCAAAGAATTTGGTTGGCGACCAGTGTTTTCCTCTTATAACGATCCAGCATCGGCTGAGCTAACCAGCAACCAGCCGATTATAAGTTTTATAAGTTTCGTGTAAACATGCTTGATGCTTCACTATCACTACTGAGCTTTTTTTTATGCAACTATCACTACTGAGCTTTAGCGTACGCCGTACCGTACGCTAAACAAGTCACGCAGTCTAAAATAATTAGCCGTATAGAAAGCGAGAAAGCGATCGAAAAAAAAACTTATATAGAAATAATAACGGAAAAAAAACACCGAACGAGATGGAGCGGTAACCTGGATGAAGTCGTCAAGCACGAAGTCCGGCATCCACGGCGGGGGGCGATGCATGGAGCGTCGCACGAGGAAGCGCAGCCCCTCGGCGGTGTCCGGCAGCAGCGCCTCCTCGACGGTGCGGTCCTCCCGCGCCGCCATGGCCCGCATCTCCCCGGGCGTGGCCGCGACGCCGGTGGTCATGATGACGAGCCTGCCCACGGCGTCGCTGGCCTCGGCGGCGGCCATCCGGTAGGCGACAAAGCCGCCGTAGCTGATCCCGGCGACGTCGTAGCGGGTCACGCCGAGGAGGCGCATGGCCTCGGCGGCGCAGCGGGCCTGGAACGCCACGGAGCGGAGCGGCGACGCGGACCGGGACTGCGCGCCGAAGAAGACGAGGTCCGGCGCGTACACGTGGAAGTGGCGAGACAGGCGCGGGAGGTTGCGCGCCCACGTCCACTTGGCGTCCCCGCCGAAGCCGTGGAGGAGGAGCAGCGGCGGCTTGGAGGACGGGGTGGCGGGGCACCAGACGCGCAGCGTGGTGGCGCTGGCGCCGCCGCCGCCGTCGTGGAGGCGGAGGAGGACGGGGCGGAGGCGGAGGCGCGCCAGGAGGTGGAGCGACAGCGCGGCGTCGCGGAAGGCGGCCAGGCGGAGGCGGAGGAGCAGGCGGAGGAGGAGCAGCGCGAGGGAGAGCAGCGCGAAGAGCGTGGACGCGCCGTGCGGCTGCTGCTTCATGTTCATGGCTGCCGCCAGCGCGGTGGCACTGGCACTGGCACTGCCCGCCGTCGCGCGCATGGACGACGGGACGGAGATGCGCATCGAGGTCGAGGTCACTGACGGAAGGGAAAGTACAAGAAAACGATGCCTTCCCAGATCGGTGGACGGGGACGGTGGGGTTGGAGCAGGCAGCAGTGGTGCAGCATGTGTATATAAATAGACTGCCATGCGCCCAAGCCCTTCCCTGCCGGCCTACCCTGTCAGCATGCCACGCCGTGTTGCCGGGCAAATGAATATCCCTGTTTCCAATTGAAATATTTTAAACAAATTTTATCCCATAAGAAATTATCATATTTTTTCTCTTTATATTATGATATATTAGTGTATTTAATGTTTATGAAACTTCTGTGAAACTGCAATTGAAATTGGGCTAATCTCTACCTTACGAAAGCGGCTGGGATTCTCGGGCGGTGGATAGGGCCACGTAGCCCGTTAACCCGCCAGCCGTTGGATCAGCCGCCCGCGCAAGGAAGACCGTCCGATGCGGGTTCGTCGGACCTGTCGCCTGTCAACCCGTCAACCCGGGCACTTGCGAATCATCGCGAACCCGAGCCGAGATCCTCGACCCCCGACCTCGCAAGCCCCTCCTCTCCTACTCCTCGACGACGGCGGCGCTGTTGCAGCAAGCTAGCTGCGGGGGGCGCGGGACGGCGACACGACGTGGCCGCGGTTGGCGAAGGCGCAATGGCAGAAGGCCAGCAGCGGGGTCGCGGGGCGGCGTGATCACGCACGGCGGCGGCGGCGCATCTGACCGGCCGAGGCGGAGCGGCGCGACCACGGACGGCGGCGGTGGCGTGGTGCTAGCGCGGCCGAGGTGGAGGGCGGGCGGCGAATGGCGGCGCATCAGCGTGAGCCGCCGAGGCGGGGCAGCGGCGCAGTGTGGCCGCGGACGAGGAGCATCGCCGCATCGGCGCGAGCGCTACCGAGGCGGGGTGGCACGACCGAGACAGGGTGGCGTGGCCGCGGACGGCGGTGCACACCGTGCGCGCGCCGGCGCCACTGCAACGGGACTACGGGAGAGGAGGACGCGGCCGACGGCGCTGCGGACGACGCCGGGTAGTGCTTCGTGGACCCGAACCGAGTGACTGATACAGATGGCCCCGCCCCTGCTGTTGCCGGCGCTCGCTAGGCCGTGCCGGCGGCGGGCTGCCTTCGTGGTGCTGCTCCCGTGCTCCAAGGTATGTAATAGCATGCACTCCACCTGTTCGCTCAAATGCCTGTGGTAGATGGAAATCAGTTTTAGCCTACGAGTAACACGCTGTACAATCCAGGGATCCATCATAAGCAGGAAGTGCATACTGATGTATCCACGCTAATTGTAGCTGTAGTGAATGGTGATTAGCACATGCGAAGTGTATAGACTGAACATACCGGTCGAGCAACAGAGCAGCCCTGTTCGATTGATCGTTTCTATGGCTTATAAGCCGGCTGATGCTAATAAACATGGCTGATACGATCAAGCGAACAGGGTGAAATCACATAACCGGATTTATACTCTTCCATATTGAACAGAAGCATTTCAGTGTGTCCTTTTGTCTTCTGGAATACATAACCGGATGTATTATCTGTTGTTGATTCGCATTTGGTTGGCAATCTTCAGATGATTTGTGATACCCAAAACAAAATTGTATAGAAATAATCGATGTCATGTTTTAGAAGAATCATTAGTCCCACAGACACAGTACACAAGCACAGAAGAGGACCTGTGTCATTCCAAGAGCAGAACCTAAAACTGTTGTCACCAGAAATATTTTCCTCAATGAAACTTCCTTCAAAAAATGAATTATACACGTCCTAGAAATTCTAGAGTAAATCCCAAGCTTATTTGTGCTGAAATTTATCAAAAGATAGCACATGAAGATAGCAATTAAACATTTAAGCTGATAAAATAAGTCTGTGAACATACATGAAGAAAAACATGGCACAGTCTGATTGCGGTGTTGCTTGCCAAAGGAATATGAACAAGGTGGGTAGGAATATGCTGGCTTGCTTTACTTCATTCCAGAACTGCATGCTACGCTGCTTAGAGCTCTTCATGGGATTCTCAAAGTCCATTGTCACAACAAGATCGTTCATAACTTTCACCCATAATCGTTCACTGGATCATGTAATCTTGATTGCGCGCTTTTCATTATTTAAAAACGATCTCTTGCTAATGAATAACAATCTTATCCTGTTTCCACAAGCCTCATTTAAGAGACAGGTAAAGAAAGTGACAACAGAGCCATGTGAGAGTGTATCTTTGAAGTATCCTTGCTCTGTGTCTTAGTCTCCTAGAGCCCTGGTTATCATGTCGCATGGCTCGGTACAACTTTTAAATTTTATAGTGTAAAAAACTCTCCTCGCTACTTGATAATATTAGATTCAGTATAATCCATGTTTTGCAAGCTACAACACTTATGTTTGTCCATCACAAACTGAACTAAATGTTTGCATCTTGCAGTTTGTATATGCAATCCTAAAATAATTTTCCTAATAGTTTGGGGGACAAATCCAGAAGAAAGCTCAATGCCATTCAACTTGATCTGTTCTTACAAATTACCTACAGAACAGAATCAGTTTGGTGTTCTAATTATATGATCTGAGTTAAAAACAAACAAATTCAGTTGTATAAGAGATTTAAGTGAGCCTCTACTACATTTCACTAAGATTGTTTCTGAAGTATGGTTCACAGATCAAATAGTGCCGATGCAAGCTCAAATTAAATTCGATCGTTTATTACTTCTGTCAACTTGTTATTAGTCGATCTTGCAATTGCTAAAAGTATGCTAACTACACGAACTACATTGCATATTTGTTGCATATTTTTGCTTATTCTTGCAATACATCAGCAGGCACATATTTAGTTACCTGTTGCTCCTATATGTCACACTTTCGAGCTCACGTGCCAAGGCACATCAAAGGAGGGCTTGAAATTTTAACCATCACAGACTGATTGCTCCAGCGAGTAAACACAAGGATCATTGCACCATCATTTTATTCTTAAGATAGTTTCTATGAAAAATATATACTTCAACTGAGAATTTGGTATGTTGCTTTACAGAGATTCATGTAAGCTACCAACCTTAGGTATATGCTATTTCTTTTGTTCTAATGTATTCCTCAAATTTATGGTGACAAGTTACCTCACTTAACATTGGTAATTAACAGCTGCTCTACCTTAGTCTGTAAGTCCCATTGCGTACACTGCAGTGACAAGTTAAAAAAAATACAGTTATTTGTAGAATAACTCAAAATATACAACATCATTCATAACCTATCATTTGCCTTCACATTTGATTGGAGCTCTACCATTTGGAGTTCATGTAATAATCACTACAAGAACAAAAGATCGGTACGTCACTTCCAGAAATTACGCCACGCCAAATTACTCCACGTTTTCCCCTACCGATACAGGGTCAACAAAGAGAGGGCTGACCATTTTGATAGCTAGAGACATCCACAGGCTGATTTACTCAAGCAAGGGCACAGCAAAGCTACGCCTGTTTTCTAGTCATAACCCTAAATCCCTAATACACCGTTTGACATCCTCTCCCATGTTCTTCGTTGGAGGAGTTAAAGGTGGAGTCAAAGAAAGGAGACATAAGTTGTAGCTCCAGCTTCTACAAAAATAGCTCTTTGGCTTCTTTGCCAAAATTTGGATCCGGACCCCGAGTCATGCCAAAGAGATCCTACTAGCGAAGTCAGCATGCTTCACCATTTTGCCTGGCAAACGAATCAATACCTGATTTTTCAAAAATGATGAATTAATACCCCCATTCAATTACATGGACAGTTTGGAATTTCAGCCTGTTCGCTGGGTCGTATTTGATTTATAAGCCATGATTTATCAGCTAACGAACAATATTTTTCTCTCACATCAAATCTAGCCAACGATACTTTCAGCCATGACTTATAAGCTAAATAAGGCCAAACGAACAGGGCGTCGGTGGATTGGAGGACGTCGGTGGATTGGAGGATGCGGGTGAAGAAAGTCTGAAAGATGATGGGAGAAAGCAACCGGGGACCGGCCGGTAGGTAATAAATGGATAGCAAGGGCGTGATCGACAAAGTGACAAGTTTTATGAGGTACAGTCAGGCTCTGTTTGGAAAGGTTGTGCAGTTTTTCACCTGTAATATCATTTCACCTGTAATTGGCTGTGCATAAGAATACAATGGTATATTTTTTTCAGTGGTAAGCTTCTTGTTTGGGTAGCAGAGACAGCTTGGTGACGCATAGGACGTAATGCGACGCTCTCGCCCATGAACATGGCGACTGTGGGTACGACCCTGGATGCACGGCAGATTATATGTGCTGCGCCGTTAGAGGTGGTGCAGCTCACAAGACGAAGACTTACGGTGTACGATATTGCTCGGCGTGTATCGCAAGACATCGAGGGCGATATCCTGAAGATGCTACGAAATTTGTTAGGATATGCTCGATCCCGTGATTCTTGTAATCTGTTATTACTTACCGGTTATCTTCTCGATCTAACCAACTTTTAACCCTACCACAGCTGTATAAGGCGGGTAGGGGACCTCCTCAAAACACACGCAATATCATACGATAGTCAATACAAACCAACAGACCATAGGAGTATGGTATTACGTCGTGTAGACGGTCCGAACCTGTCTAACTCTTGCGTCTACGTTGTCTTCTTGTTCTTGATTACGCGCACCTCAACCGATCAAACTATCTTCGTGGGATACCTCTCGGAGGACTGCCGATGATATTTTATCGACAGTTAGCGCGCTAGGTAAGGGTGTGCGTACTGTTTACATGACGAACAAGACGGTACACTTTTCAGGCTCTTCGTCCTCTCCCTTGTAATGATTTATGTTTAGACTCATCCTTGTGCAACCAAATTTGTATTAAGAAAATTGTTGCAGAAACATGCACACAAGAGGTCGCAAAGAAGAATGAGCAACTCAAGCAAGAAGTGGCTCGTCTCATCAAAGACTTGACTCAAGTGAAAGGCAAGACAGAGCAAGCCCAACTTCATTAAGATAACACCGTTAAGGGAGTGAAGAAGCTTGATGAAGGACAAGTCGTGGTTTACTAC